CAGAGGGAAAAGAAGCAAATACTGTTAACCAACATGGCATGGAGGGGATTGTAATCATTGCAATGAAACAAAAAATGGGATTTGATTCTTAGTTCTTTTCACCTGGGAATACCATTCCTTTAGGTTCAAGAAAGTTGACAAATTTGATACAAGGTCAAAAAGCACTGTAGGGTAAGCACTGAACTACAAGGTCGGTTTGAACCACAAGGTCAGCATTTCAAACTCACCAGACACTCCTTGGAAACCTTATATAGGGTCAGTATGAGTCAGAACTGACTTGACAGCTCTTAGCAACAACAGCAGTGACACTGGTGAGGGCCACGGTGGGTCAATGGTGGAATTCTTGCAGAAGACCGGGATTCACTTTCCGGTCATCGTACCTCATGTGCAGCCACCACCTGTGTCTCAGTGAAGACTTCAGTGTTGCAATGATGCTAAACAGATTTAAATAGAGCTTCTGGGCATTAGGAAGAAAGGCCTGGCAACCTAATTCTAAAAGTCAGTCAATGAAAACTTTATAGATAACAATGATCAACCTCATTGTGTGTGGGGTCACCAAGAGTTAGGGGCACCTAACAGCAGCTAACAACAACTAGAAACTAGTTAAGAATCAATCTATCTTGGAAGAGAGTTTCTAGTGTAGAAGAGAAATCAACTAAAAGACAGCTTGAAAATGACACTAGAGGGTTTTCAAGCATCCGAGGAGAACAGGAGATATTTCAGATCAGTAGGTTAATGAGGCGACTTTAAAACAGTGTTCTGATTAACTGCAACAGGCCTAGGTGGGATCATAATTGAAAGACCAGAACCTGAGTGGATTTCAGAAGAAGAGCAAAGAGAAAGAGTGCAGGGCTCCTTCAGCATCTAGTCCAATTGGCGGGCTCAAGCCTAACACAAGTTCCCTTTTCTCTGCATCTCTAGTCACCAAATATAACTAGTCTTCCACTGGTCTTCTTTCCCACTGGGGAAGGATGAAATCTAACTCATTAACACCAGTCCTTTGGTCAATGCCGTGGACCTGCCTCTCATTACTATGCATAAGTGTTTGGTGGGTACACCCATTCTCACAGGACTCTCTCCCATGGTGTGGGCCACGGAACCCCAGCACTGCTGACTATGCCAGGAGGGGGCCCTTACCCTTACTGAGTCATCACTTTTAGGGCTTCAAACTAAGAAATAGCTTGTTTCTTAGACAACTTCCTGTTGTGAGGAGCAGGTAAGAAAATATGTGGGCCCAGAAATTAATTGGAACTTAATCCAACAGCATTTTAGGAGGTTGTGGAACAATATATACTTGTCTGGGGATATGCATCAGCTACATGCTCAAATTTATGATATAAGTAATTCTCAAAGTGAACACT